CCGAGGAGCATGAGGACGATATGCTGGAATGGCTGAGGGAGAACGAGTACCTCTGGAGAAAAGGCCACAGACTATTTGGGACACAAAGAAGAAGCAGGCAGCTTGGAGAGACAAGGCAGAGAGCCTGTGGTACACTACAGAAGTACTCCTTGGATGGTGGAAGCACTTGCACTCCTGGTATGGGACGCTACACCTCAAGAAATCCTGGCAGGCCACCGTTAAGCTCCCTCACCGTCGGAAGTATGTTATTGCCAAGTGCACTTTTCTGGAGGGTGAGATCAGTCACCGAGGAGAAACCCCGTTGAAACCTCTCTCCCTCAGCCAGCCCACAGACAGCCAGGCATCTTCAAGCCAGGAGCTACAGACCTATGTGAGCCAGACCCAGAGAGACCTGCCCGAGGCCGAGTACCAGGTGATGTAACAGAAGAATACAAAACTTCTCCACAACCATCAAGGCCCAGCTGAAGTTCGTCGCACCAAGTCCTGGTCTGCTTCTTGAGGTCACTTGCGTTGTATATCTCGGCATCTGAAGCTGACCCGTTGCCTGAAGCATCGATGTAGATGAACTTGTAGTCAGCATCAACCATGGCAAAGAGGATGATACTGGAGAAGCCCTTTTAGTTGTAATAAGTGGACCCTGAGTTGGTTAGCTGGAGCTTTGCAAGCCACATGTTTCCCATATATGACTCCGACGGTGCGGGGAAAGTTCCACCACTGACACCAATCTTCTGCAAGTTGTCTCCAGCCTTGTTCAGCGGTGGGGCACCTGAGGAGCTCGTCCACGTATTCTTCAACGATTGCCTCTACCATTTCCTTGACGACTTTGCTGATGCTGCTGTGTGACACCATCTTTGTACACTACATGTTTCTGTATGTGGTTCCAGAGGCCAAAGAGTCAGTGCCACCTTTAGGTCAGGGTCCAGGTTTGAACGGAAGTTGGTGTTTGGCTTGGTCAACCTGGGTCTCAGATGCTCTACAAGTTCGTTAAACATGGCTGGTCGAATCCTCAGGTAGTTATGGAATGCACGAGGGTCTTCATTCCTCAGCTCCACCAACAACTGGTCATACAGCCCAAACTCCATTCTTCTCACGATCCATCCTCGGACCCATACAGCTCTTGGACGTCTCCTCCTCCTTCTGTCTAAACCTTGATACAGGTTGTAAGGTTGTTGTTTTGCTGTTGAATGAGTGCAGCTATCATATGGACTCTTTGATCACCCATGGTTGAGAACAACTGATGATGTTGAAGATTACGAGTGATAAGGTCTGTACACCGCGGCAGCTCGACTCATACTGAGATCCAGATGACTTTCTCTCCCTTTTTATGTAAAATATCAGTTGTCCGCTTGGTGTCCATCTACATACTCCAGACATACTACATACATCCTAAATGTACGAGATACATCTCAGATACAAACACTTTGTCCGTTTTGAATATTTTATATACGAGATGCAAACGCTTACATCCTTTCTATTTCCGTGCTACTAACGATGTATAGGCGTTCCATGTACCTTATCTTTTTCCCCTTCTTTCCAGCGGATGTGAGTTGCGAGGATGCCGAGAGGATGCAGAGAGGATACATCGGGTGTTTAACGGATGATAACGGACATTGAACGTTCATTGCTTGTAAATGTTGCGGACTTGCATCGTACACGGCGGAAGTTCATCCGTTCTAAAAGTTTTGTGCAGCTAAAACATTTTGCGCGGCTGAAGTCACGATGGATGGATGCTCAATGAATAGAGCGTATGAAACACGTATGCAATAAGTACACAACAAATGCATAACGTTTTCGAACGGATGACAAGAGTTTGTTTACGTTTTATATCTTCTTTGTGTCTGTAAGTGCAGTGGGACCGGGCCTTAAGAACCAACAGGTTAGCAATGTCCACGGGTCAAGACAAATATATACATATACTAGGAATGATCCCCGGATGTAATTAGATATACTGAGGGGTATATTTGCCGATGCAATCAAGTGTCCACGAAATCAGGTGTATTTTCGTTAAAACCACGGAAATGCAGCAAACGAAAATATATGGTTTTATAGTATATGACAGTAGCCTTATATTTCCATTCATCTTAGTTTTCTTCTCCGAATGAATTTTCTATGTTGTAACACTACTCATATTACACATCTATCAAATAATTAAAATTCTTCTACTATAATAATAATTCTATGTTTCAACATGTTTTGTTTCAGTAATATAAGCAATGTGTGTACTACATTACATTATCATCCTGTTATCTTAACCCTTCCTCAAACCATGAAATGCACATCCTGTATAGGTTTCATATAAGTATTAGTGAATCACAGTATACATGTATGCCATGTAGATTATAATCAACAAGGATATGCACACTCATCCTTCTATTTGAAGCACTACCCACTCCAACTAACATTTAACAGGAACATGATAACAGCCTAGGGAAAACGTGACCAAGGCCTTGGACGACTAAAGCGTCAAATACTGTATACAGTTGTTATTATGGTTAGGGCTTACAGCTTGTCGACTTTTTATATGTAACACCTGTTATGTCATATGTACTGGGTGTCTCGAGATCACCAAAATTGTTTGAATGTGTGACACCTGTTATGTCATATGTACTGGGTGTCTCGAGGTCACATAAAGGTTTGAATGTGTGACACCTGTTATGTCATATGTACTGGGTGTCTCGAGATCACCAAAATTGTTTGAATGTGTGACCCCTGTTATGTCATATGTAATGGGTGTCTCGAGGTCACATAAAGGTTTGAATGTGTGACACCTGTTATGTCATATGTACTGGGTGTCTCGAGATCACCAAAATTGTTTGAATGTGTGACACCTGTTATGTCATATGTACTGGGTGTCTCGAGGTCACATAAAGGTTTGAATGTGTGACACCTGTTATGTCATATGTACTGGGTGTCTCGAGATCACCAAAATTGTTTGAATGTGTGACCCCTGTTATGTCATATGTAATGGGTGTCTCGAGGTCACATAAAGGTTTGAATGTGTGACACCTGTTATGTCATATGTACTGGGTGTCTCGAGATCACCAAAATTGTTTGAATGTGTGACCCCTGTCTTTTGTACTGGGTGTCTCGAGGTCACATAAAGGTTTGAATATGTGACACCTGTTATGTCATATGTACTGGTTGTCTCGAGATCACCAAAAATGTTTGAATGTGTGACCCCTGTTATGTCATATGTACTGGGTGTCTCGAGATCACCAAAATTGTTTGAATGTGTGACCCCTGTTATGTCATATGTAATGGGTGTCTCGAGATCACCAAAATTGTTTGAATGTGTGACCCCTGTTATGTCATATGTACTGGGTGTCTCGAGATCACCAAAATTGTTTGAATGTGTGACCCCTGTTATGTCATATGTACTGGGTGTCTCGAGATCACCAAATTGTTTGAATGTGTGACCCCTGTTATGTCATATGTAATGGGTGTCTCGAGATCACCATAAAGGTTTGAATGTGTGACACCTGTTATGTCATATGTACTGGGTGTCTTGTTTGTGTGTGACCCCTGTTATGTCATATGTAATGGGTGTCTCGAGGTCACATAAAGGTTTGAATGTGTGACCCCTGTTATGTCATATGTACTGGGTGTCTTGAGATCACCAAAAATGTTTGAATGTGTGACCCCTGTTATGTCATATGTACTGGGTGTCTCGAGATCACCAAATTGTTTGAATGTGTGACCCCTGTTATGTCATATGTAATGGGTGTCTCGAGATCACCAAAATTGTTTGAATGTGTGACCTACACTCATTGTATGTGTGACACATTGTATGTACATAAAGGTTTGAATGTGTGACCCCTGTATGTCAATCTCCCAAAATTGTTTGAATGTGTGACCCCTGTTATCAATACACGAGAGTTTGAACGTGTACATCTAAAGTGGTGTTCATTTTTTCCATAAACCAGTTTACAAATTAAAATGCATAAAAAGAAAAATTTCAAAATTCTAAATTTAATCTTCAACAAATTGTTAACTTTTAATCCTATACGGTAAATTAGTAAATGAACACAATTTGCCATGTGTTGATATACTTTCTCCAGATCTTTTTTTTTTTTTTTTTTTTTGTGGAAATAAACTTCTCTAAACATTCAGTAAATGTTACTGTAATAACCAATAATTATTTATAAATAGTACTGGTACTCTTGGCATTAAATTATTAAATATGAAAAACAAAATATCCCTTTTCCGTTTTTATTCAATCCATTATTGAATAATACACTTATAATCGTCTGTATTAACTTATGAAGGAATATTTCAGGTAACAATTAGTTAATTAATCAATGAACAAAGTTAACTAATAAGAACAAATATGAAAAAGCAGCTAAGGAACTAATGAGTAATAGTGATAATAACGATCCTTTAGCAACATGCAAAATACATAACAGTTACAATATGTGTCGGCCTGACATTTTTCTCTTGTAAGACCGCTGTTTAGCTGCTTGATTTGTCTCCTTAACTAAATACATAGCTATAGAAGAAAGGCAAGAAAACCTATGAGGGATGAAATGATTACTAATGATGTTCGATTTTCTTCAATATGAAAACTTAAAAATAATTCCTCTTGATACATATATTGAGTAAAACCAATTCAAACATATGGGTACTTTCCTTTTTGAAAGTGACATATCTAAAATGTGCCTTCTTTAATTGGTCTGTTTAAAATTAGCTTCACCTTTAACATAAGCTTCACCGGAAATTATTTTTTTACAAAGAGTTTACAATTGATGTGAAGTGAGCTATCTTTAATAGACAGAAAAACCTTACATGTATTTAAAAAATCAAAACAATCTTGAGTTGAGGTCAGTAGCACTTTTGATTACCTAATGAGAAATCAATCTTATAGATAAGTGCACACCTAACTATCGACATGAAGGTTTTTTGCTATCCTTTAGGTACATGAAAATACTTTTCTTGGTGTAACTTATATACTACATAATTCCACCGTCATTCTCGGTGAATGAACGCTATATCGCCCCATTCTTCTATCGTCCTCCACCAGGTTCTCCTTTCTGACCGGGTAATCCGTCTAATCCTTGAAGTCCTTTTTCTCCTTTTAAACCGGGAAATCCTGGATTTCCTGGATCTCCTTTCAAACCGGGAAAACCGGCCAGACCTATTCATCATACAATATAAACATACAACAATGTAATATATATAAATAACTATCAAACATTTACGTTGAATTTTAGTTCACCTGACACGAGGGACCAAGTGAGCATCTGTCGTGCCGTGGTGCGACGTCCGTCTTCCGTGCGGCGTCAACTTTTCAATTCAAACTATTCCAAATAACTAACAGACCAAATGACATTAAACTTGACCGATAAATTTGCGAAAAGAAATGACCTTCAGTCTAATTCAAGGTCACAAGGGTAAAATTTGTTAAGACCTTTAACAAACTTCTACTGACTAACTAAAATATGCAGACCCATGGTATTTAGCTGGTAAGTTCATGGGAGGAAGGGTAACAGGGATTCTATTTTTGATGAACATTGAATCACAGGAGAGCGATGCAGGCACACATAGATGTAAACTGCATCCTACAAGAGGAAATAAATCATATTCTCTCAGTACATTTGAACAACTGGAAAATCTAGACATGGAAATGTCAGGTGTCATAAAGTCTACTTGTTTCTGTCACAAACTAAAATGTCATAAAGCATTCATGTACTTGTTTGTCACAAACTATCATAAAATTCCTGTACTTGTTGCTGACACAAACTAAAAAGTCAAAATGACGTGTACTTGTTGCTGTCACAAACTAAATTGTCATAGGTCATGTACTTGTTGCTGTCACAAACAAAAAAGTCAAAATGACATGTACTTGTTGCTGTCACAAACTGAAATGTCATAAGGTCATGTACTTGTTGCTGTCACAAACTAAAATGTAATAATGTCATGTATGTTGCACAAACTAAAATGTCAAAGGTCATGTACTTGTTGCTGTCACAAACTAAAATGTCATGTCATAAAGTCACAAACTAAAATGTCACTTGTTTGTTGTGTCACAAACTAAAATGTCATAAAGGTCATGTACTTGTTGCTGTCACAAACTAAAATGTCATAAAATCATGTACTTGTTGCTGTCACAAACTAAAATGGCCAATGTTCATGTACTTGTTGCTGTCACAAACTATAATGTCAAATGGTCATGTACTTGTTGCTGTCACAAACTAAAATGTCATAAAGTCATGTACTTGTTGCTGTCACAAATTGAAATGTCAAAAGGTCATGTACTTGTTTCTGACACAAACTAAAATGTCATCAAGTCATGTACTTGTTGCTGACACGAACTAAAATGTCATAAGGTCATCTACTTGTTGTTGTCACAAACTAAAATGTCATAAAGTAATGTACTTGTTGCTGACACAAATTGAAATGTCATGTACTTGTTGCTGTCACAAACTGTCATGTACTTGTTTCTACTTGTTGCTGACACAAATTGAAATGTCATAAAATCATGTACTTGTTTCTGTCACAAACTAAAATGTCATAAAGTCATGTACTTGTTTCTGTCACAAACTAAAATGTCATAAAGTCATGTTCTTGTTGTTGTCACAAACTAAAATGTCATAAGGTCATGTTCTTGTTGCTGTCACAAACTAAAATGTCAAAATGACATGTACTTGTTGCTGTCACAAACTAAAATGTCATAAAGTCATGTACGTGTTGCTGTCACAATCTCAAAGGACATAAGGACATGTACTTGTTGCTGTCACAAACTAAAATGTCATAAAATCATGTACTTGTTTCTGTCACAATCTAAAATGTCATAAAGTCATGTACTTGTTTCTGTCACAAACTAAAATGTCATAAAGTCATGTTCTTGTTGTTGTCACAAACTAAAATGCCATAAGGTCATGTACTTGTTTCTGTCACAAACTAAAATGTCATAAAGTCATGTACTGTCACAAACTGTGTCATAAAATCATGTCTGTCACAAAACTAAAATGTCATAATAAAATCATGTACTTGTTTCAGTCACAAACTAAAATGTCATTAAGTCATTTACTTGTTTCTGTCACAAACTAAAATGTCATAAAGTCATGTACTTGTTTCTGTCACAAACTAAAATGTCATAAAGTCATGTTCTTGTTGTTGTCACAAACTAAAATGTCATAAGGTCATGTACTTGTTGTTGTCACAAACTAAAAAGTCAAAATGACGTGTACTTGTTGCTGTCACAAACTAAATTGTCAAAATGACATGTACTTGTTGCTGTCACAAACTAAAATGTCATATTGTCATGTACATGCTGCTGTCACAACATAAAATGTCATAATGACTTGTACTTGTTGCTGTCACAAACTAATATGGCCAATGTTCATGTACTTGTTTCTGTCACAAACTAAAATGTCATAAATGTACATGTACTTGTTGTGTCACAAAACTAAAATGTCATAAAGTCATGTACTTGTTTCTGTCACAAACTAAATGTCATAAAGTCATGTACTTGTTTCTAAAATGTCATAAAGTCATAAAGTCATGTACTTGTTTCATGTACACAAACTGAAATGTCATAAAGTCATGTACTTGTTTCTGTCACAAACTATAATGCCATAAGGTCATGTACTTGTTTCTGTCACAAACTAAAATGTCATAAAGTCATGTACTTGTTGCTGACACAAATTGAAATGTCATAAAATCATGTACTTGTTTCTGTCACAAACTAAAATGTCATAAAGTCATGTACTTGTTTCTGTCACAAACTATACTTGTTTCTGTCACAAAAATGTCATAAAGTCATGTACTTGTTGCTGTCACAAACTAAAATGTCATAAAGTCATGTTAAAATGTCATAAAGTCATGTACTTGTTGCTGTCACAAACTAAAATGTCATAACAAACTAAAATGTCAAAATGACATGTACTTGTTGCTGACACAAACTAAAATGTCATAAAGTCATGTACGTGTTGCTGTCACAAACTAAAATGTCAAAATGACATGTACTTGTTGCTGTCACAAACTGAAATGTCATAAAGTCATGTTCTTGTTGCTGTCACAAACTAAAATGTCATAATGTCATGTACATGCTGCTGTCACAACATAAAATGTCATACGTAATGTACTTGCTGCTGACACAAACTAAAATGTCATAAGGTCATCTACTTGTTGTTGTCACAAACTAAAATGTCATAAAGTCATGTACTTGTTTCTGACACAAACTCAAATGTCAAAATGACTTGTACTTGTTTCTGACACAAACTAAAATGTCATAAGGTCATGTACTTGTTGCTGTCACGAACTCAAATGTCATAGGTCATATACTTGTTGCTGACACAAACTAAAATGTCATACAGTCATGTACTTGTTGCTGTCACAAACTGAAATGTCCAATGTTCATGTACTTGTTTCTGTCACAAACTAAAATGGCCAATGTTCATGTACTTGTTTCTGTCACAAACTAAAATGTCATAAAGTCATGTACTTGTTTCTGTCACAAACTGAAATGTCATAAGGTCCTGTACTTGTTGCTGTCACAAACTAAAATGTCATAAAGTCATGTACTTGTTTCTGTCACAAACTAAAATGTCATAAAGTCATGTTCTTGTTGTTGTCACAAACTAAAATGTTAAAAGGTCATGTACTTTTTTCTGTCACAAACTGAAATGTCATAAGTTCATGTACTTGTTTCTGTCACAAACTAAAATGTCATAAAGTCATGTACTTGTTGCTGTCACAAACTAAAATGTTATAAGGTCATGTACTTGTTGCTGACACAAACTAAATTGTCATAGGTCATGTACTTGCTGCTGACACAAAATAAAATGTCATAAAGTCAATGTCATATAAAGTCATGTACTTGTTGCTGTCATGTCATAAGTCATGTACTTGTTGCTGTCACAAACTAAAATGTCATAAAGTCATGTACTTGTTGCTGTCACAAACTAAAATGTCATAAAGTCATGTACTTGTTGTGTCACAAACTAAAATGTCATGTACTTGTTGCTGTCACAAACTAAAAAGTCATGTACTTGTTGCTGACACAAATTGAAATGTCATAAAATCATGTACTTGTTTCAGTCACAAATTGAAATGTCATAAAGTCATGTACTTGTTGCTGACACAAATTGAAATGTCATAAAATCATGTACTTGTTTCAGTCACAAACTGAAATGTCATAAAGTCATGTACTTGTTTCTGTCACAAACTAAAATGCCATAAGGTCATGTACTTGTTTCTGTCACAAACTAAAATGTCATAAAGTCATGTACTTGTTGCTGACACAAATTGAAATGTCATAAAATCATGTACTTGTTTCAGTCACAAACTGAAATGTCATAAAGTCATGTACTTGTTGCTGACACAAACTAAAATGTCATAAAGTCATGTACTTGTTGCTGTCACAAACTAAAATGTCATAAAGTCATGTACTTGTTGCTGTCACAAACTGAAATGTCATAAAGTCATGTACTTGTTGCTGACACAAACTAAAATGTCATAAGGTCATGTACTTGTTGCTGTCACAAACTAAAATGTTATAAGGTCATGTACTTGTTGCTGACACAAACTGAAATGCCATAAGGTCATGTACTTGTTGCTGACCCAAACTAAAATGTCATTAAGTCATGTACTTGTTGCTGACACAAATTGAAATGTCATAAAATCATGTACTTGTTTCAGTCACAAACTGAAATGTCATAAAGTCATGTACTTGTTTCTGTCACAGGTCATGTACTTGCTGCTGTCACAAACTAAAATGTCAAAATGACATGTACTTGTTGCTGTCACAAACTGAAATGTCAAAAGGTCATGTACTTGTTGCTGTCACAAACTAAAATGTCATAAGGTCATGTACTTGTTGCTGTCACAAACTAAAATGTCAAAATGACATGTACTTGTTGCTGTAACAAACTGAAATGTCATAAGGTCATGTTCTTGTTGCTGTCCCAAACTAAAATGTCAAAATGACATGTACTTGTTGTTGTCACAAACTAAAATGTCATAAAGTAATGTACTTGTTGCTGACACAAACTAAATGTCATAGGTCATGTACTTGCTGCTGACACAAACTGAAATGTCATAAGGTCATCTTCTTGCTGCTGTCACAAACTAAAATGTCAAACAAAATGTATTTGTTGCTGACACAAACTAAAATGTTATAAGGTCATGTACTTGTTGCTGACACAAACTAAAATGTTATAAGTTGTTGTCACAAACTAAAATGTCATAAGGTCATGTACTTGTTGCTGACACAAACTAAATGTCATAGGTCATGTACTTGCCGCTGACACAAATAATGTCATGTACATGCTGCTGTCACAACATAAAATGTCATAGGTCATGTACTTGCTGCTGACACAAACTAAAATGTCATAAAGTCATGTACTTGTTGCTGACACAAACTAAATGTCATAGGTCATGTACTTGTTGCTGTTGCTTTTTACTTTGAGAAACTTTGGAATGGAAGAAAATTAACTTGAAATAGAATAAAAGTAAGGTGGACTTTTAATCAGTTATAAATGGTTTTTAGGATTACATAACAAATATGTTGATATGTTCTAACCTGTTACACCAGGCTCTCCAGCCCGGCCAGGTTCTCCAGGGAGACCTGCTGGACCATATAGTCCTATTTCCCCACGGTCACCTTTCAATCCACGAATTCCAGGTTCACCTGGTTATGACAAATAGTGGCAAGTATTACTGTATTTACTAACAATTGAACCAAACTGTGTTCATGTTCACCTGTTGTTTAGTAACATTAACATTTTGCCATATTAGATGATAAACATTATATTTGTTGATGAACAGAACCGTTGGTGTTGATTTGTAAGACAGGAGAGGCTTTTGTTTGCAGATTTACTACAGATTTCCCTCTACATTGGTAAAATATTTTGATATTTTTGCAAATTGTTCGTGTAATAAAAAAAGAATAAATAATGGAAAATAAACAAAAGAAATCCTGTTTTCCAGGAATTATGCGAGAACAGAATATCAAGGAAAAGATACGATGAAAATGAAGCTAATATAAAAAAGGCATTTCATCTCGTTATTTTATATTAATTTTTGTTGTTGTTGTAGAAAACTTAAACCGCCAGGAAAAGTATAGTACTTTTCATCCAACTATTCAAAAACAGTTAATTTATAAAGATGCACTGTAGGCAGACTTTTAATGAAGATGTTTTCAACTTTTACCAGTGAAACAGTCAGTGGTGATTTCATAAGTTTTGTTTAACAGAAATGACACATGAACTCGCTATACTCAATCAAAAAAGTAATATAATTAGCTTACCTTGGGGCCCTTGAGGTCCAGGCATTCCTCGAATAATTGGTTGCCCTGCAGAAAAAAAGGAAAGAAAAAACTGGGGATAATTTAAAGCTGTTAAAACGTATGTTAGATGCGATTAATCGCCAACGTAGATTTAGAATTCTGGGACCCTGTTCCTGAGTTCATTAGTCCTTCTTATTAAAGATAGATAGGATACATTGGACGGATAAACCAGGCTTAAATAAAATCCTAAAGAAAGACGTTTTAACATGCGTATGATAATGTATTGTGTACAATTGCCGGCAAGAGCCCAACAAAATGATTTAATTTTCACATCATTTTGTACCATGGTACAAGTTTGCATGTCACAAAAAGATGTGAAATTTTACTTCTTTGTGTATCATCGTTGGTACAAAATGAATTGAAAAAAAAAATCATCTCATTGTTTCTGTACCAGAATAACGGCTGAAAACAGCCATAGTACAGAAGCAGGTGAAACCAACAGAATGAAAGGTTACCAAGTATGACAAATATCACCCTGCTAATGTCGTCATTACACCTAGCGACATTTTATTGTAGGGAATGTCTATCGTTTTGATTACCAAACTATCTTTTCGTACCTTCCGCTGATGTGCAATTATAGGAAACTCCTTAAGGGACCCTGTGAGAACCCCAATACTTATACAATTCTAACTCTGTTTATCGTCAGACATGATTAATGAAATTCTCGTCTTGTTACTATTCGGGGTCATTCTGAACATAGGGTTTTATTACCACATTCCGGTGTTCTTCTTCATCGTTACACTTTTTTCATATTTTTGTGCCCTTTTTTTCTTGTTGTGAACAACAGAGAAGTGTACCAAGGCACGGAAAGGTATACAAATTATACCGGGTGATATCGGCTGTGGGTACATAAACATGTCAAAGTACAGACTATTTCGCAAACCCGACTTATAATCTTTAAGGCTTTGTACCGTTTTGTCATATCGTTTTGTACAATGGTATATTTCATTTGGTACGAAACAATATGAAAATTCCTATCATTTTGTCAAGCTCTTTTCGGCCATCGTAATTGTGGGATTGTATATCTTGATCAGTGTCAGATATAACGTATACAAAGCTATAGATTGGATGTATGTTCTCGCTGTTTTACCCTTTAAAGCATTCAATTGTATTAATGTAACTAATTCCACTAATTAACACTATGTTTTACATGTTATTCGCTAGTTTAGTTCTAATCCACTCACCTTTAACGACTCCGAAAGAAGCCTTGACCTCATCAATTTGCCTTCTGATATATCCCAACTCAGAGTGCAGAATGCTGCGTATCTCTGGTAAAGCATGCTCCATTATGTCTGCTATTTGCAGTGCATTACAGTGGCGTCTTCTATGTTCAGGAAGAATGTTCTGTTGGTAAGACGCATTAACTTGAAGCAATACTAGTACTAAACACACATATTTCATACTGGATTCTTCTTTGTCCCGTATTGCTATACAGTTTTCGGTCTTACACGGAATCATTCGTTGTCCCAGTGTTTATAGTAACTAATAGTCTTTCTGATGACTTACTACCATACCACGCTGTAACATATTGCTTTACACACGTCAGGTTTACCACTTGATGTCTAACTGGCCGAGTGGTCTGTCACTGATTTGCATAAGTGCATTCTTAGTCGGTTTCAATGGTTTAGTCTTCCTGTCTTTTCGAGGTTGTTTACCAGTTGGTTCATCCCACAAAGTACTACATTTTTGTCAATGCTAGCTAAGGTTTGTTACATGTGTGTGTTTATGTGCCAGGATTTAGTATAATCACATTTATCTTCCCGCCTTAAAAGAGAGTCGATGGTAACGACTTGTCAGAATATAAGAGGATATCCCGGTATTTCGGTTCAAGCATCATAGACGAGTCTTGCTATGACGTAATAGCTCTATGAAATAATATCACTGACGAGTCTTGTTAAGATGATACAGCTGAATGACGTAACATCACTGATGAGTTTTGTTAAGGCGAAACAGCTGTATGACGTAGCATCACTGACGAGTCTTGTTAAGGCGAAACAGCTGTATGACGTAGCATCACTGACGAGTCTTGTTAAGACGAAATTAACGACTTTATACGTTGTTGTCTATTTTGCATAAGTCATTATCTCACATGGCATACTGAAATGAGGACTTTTTAAAGTAGATATTAAGTTACTCACCAAACCAGTTAAATAGGAGATTCGTAATGATAATAGGAACTCTCCTGTCTTGTGTAAAATATATCTTCTTTCGTTTAGATTAGGGGCTAGTATGCCTGATTTTTACTTATATAACACAGATCACATCATGAATTTGTTTTAAGACGAGACGATGTCGAGTGTATCCGGTATATGTAACTAAACCATTTTAAAAGAATTTTAGATCAAAAGAGATGTAACTACTGCATTATCAACGAAATTCAACAAAAGCTAAAAACTGCAATTTTTTTATCGAAAAGGTCCCTCACATGTTCTTATCCAACCAAAACGCTCCTTTCCACAATTGGTGGCGTACAAGCTCCGCCCACTTTCCAGTCAAGTTGTCGATAGATTCGGGTCAGGATGTAGCTCGATGCATTTGATAAGGCTTAAATGGATCTCTGTGTGGTTGTCTGTCTAAACTGTTGATTCCTAGTGTACACTAAAAAAACTCTGAAGTCTGAAGTTAAGGTATTTATTCCGTAAAGCATCAAAAAGAGACGGGGTCTTATTAAAAATTGTCAGCCTTTTTCTTTCAAACGGAGATTTGGATCTATGTATGATTTTCTATAGATTTATCCAGTAAAGACTGGAGACAATACCATGTGATTTCCTTCAGTTGTGATGTTTTGTTAACAGATCTGTTTCTTATTCTATTGCGGTTATTTTGATGCCCCATTTGTTACATTTGATTGAAAAATAACGATTTTATGAGTTGGTTTTTTTTCAAATTTCGGGTAAATTTCCCTATGGCGGCCATCTTGATGACGTCATAACCTGAAGTTTGTCCCAACTTACACAGTGTTAACACTTATCATCGTGATCAGGACGCCATAGGGCTTCAGAAAAATATCGGTTTGGAGGTTTGTGGGGGAAGGGGTACACGATGGACCCTTCCAGACCCACGGACTATATTACTGTAGCATTTTTGTTGTTTTTATCGGCGATGTGTAAATATACATCGATATATCATGCCACTTGTCTGTCGTAATGCCGTATCTATCTGACGTCCATAACATACTGCTTTATCTATATGACCGCTAAAACATACTGCTGTATCTTTCTATAGGCTACAGCAAACTGTTGTATCTATCTGACGGCTACAACATACTGCTGTATCTATCTGACGGCTTCAACATACCTCTGTATCTATATGAGGGCCGCAACATACTGCTGTATCTATCTGACGGCTACAACATACCCCTGTATCTATATGAGGGCCGCAACATACTGCTGTATCAATATGACGGCTACAACATACCCCTGTATCTATATGAGGGCCGCAACATACTGCTGTATCTATCTGACGGCTACACCATACTGCTGTATCTTTCTATAGGCTACACCATACTGCTGTATCTATCTGACGGCTCCAACATACTGTTGTATCTATCTGACGACTGCAACATACCCCATTATCTATATGAGGGCCGCAACATACTGCTGTATCTATTTGATGGCTACAACATACTGTTGTATATATCTGACAGCCACAACATACTGCTGTATCTATTTGATGGCTACAACATACTGTTGTATCTACCTGACTGCCACAAGATACTGCTATACCTATCTGGCGGCTAGAATATACTGCTGTATCAATCTGACAGCTAGAATATACAGCTGCATCTATCTGACGGCTACAACATACCTCTGTATCTATCTGACGGCCACAACATACCGCTGTATCTATCTAACGGCTACAACATGCCCCTGTATCTTTCTGGCGGCTACAACATACCCCTGTATCTATATGAGGGCCGAAACATACTGTTGTATCTATCTAACGGCTACAACATACTGCCCTATCTATCTGACGGCCACAACCTACTGCTGTTTCTATGTTACGGCTACAACATACAGCTGTATCTATCTCATGACTACAACATACTTGCTGTATACTGCTGTATCTATTTGACGGCTGCAACATACTGTTGTATCTATCTGACGGCTTCAATATACAACTGTACCTATCTGACGGCCACAACATACCCCTGTATCTATCTGACGGCTACAACATACCGCTGTATCTATCTGAGGGCTACAACATACCGCTGTATCTATCTGACGGCAACAACATACTGCTGTATCTATCTGACGGCTACAACATACTGTTGTATCTATCTGACGACTACAACATACCCCTGTATCTATATGAGGGCCGCAACATACTGCTGTATCTATTTGACGGCTACAACATACTGCTGTACCTATCTGACCGCTAGAATATACTGCTGTATCTATCTGACAGCTATAACATATTGTTGTATATATCTGAGGGCCACAACATACTGCTGTATCTATCTGACGGCTGCAACATACTGTTGTATCTATCTGACGGCTTCAATATACAACTGTACCTATCTGACGGCCACAACATACCCCTGTATCTATCTGACGGCTACAACATACCGCTGCTATCTGAGGGCTATATATCTATCTGACGGCCACAACATACTGCTGTATCTATCTGACGGCTACAACATACTGTGTATATATCTGTATCTATCTGACGGCTACAACATACTGCTGTATCTATCTGACGGCCACAACATACTGCTGTATCTATCTGACGGCTACAACATACTGCTGTACCTATCTGACCGCTAGAATATACTGCTGTATCTATCTGACGGCTATTACATACTGCTGCTTCTATGTTACGGCTACAACATACTGCTGTATCTATCTGACGGCTACAACATACTGCTGTATCTATCTGACGGCTACAACATACTGCTGTATCTATCTGACGGCTACAACATACTGCTGTATATATCTGACGGCCATAGCATACTGTTGTATCTATCTGACGGCTACAACATACTGCTGTATCTATCTGACGGCTACAACATACTCCTGTATCTATCTGACGGCCACAACATACTGCTGTATAAATCTGACGGCCACAACATACTGTTGTATCTATCTGACGGCCACAACATACTGCTGTATCTATCTGACGGCTACAACATACTGCTGTATCTATCTGACGGCCACAGCATACTGCTGTATCTATCTGACGGCTACAACATACTGCTGTATCTATCTGACGGCTACAACATACTGCTGTATCTATCTGACGGCTACAACATACTGCTGTATCTATCTGACGGCTACAACATACTGCTGTATCTATCTAAAGGCCAAAACATACTGTTGTATATATCTGACGGCCACAACATACCGCTGTATCTATCTGACGGCTACAACATACTGCTGTATATATCTGACGGCCACAACATACTGCTGTATCTATCTGACGGCCACAGCATACTGCTGTATCTATCTGACGGCTACAACATACTGCTGTATCTCTATGATTGCTACAACATACCGCTGTATCTATCCGACGGCAGAAACATACTGTTGTATCTATCTGACGGCTACAACATACTGCCGTATCTATCTGACAACCACAACATACTGCTGTATCTATCTGACGGCTACAACATACTGCTGTATCTATCTGACGGCCACAACATACTCTTGTATCTATCTGACGGCCACAGCATACCCCTGTATCTATATGAGGGCCGAAATATACTGTTGTATCTATCTGACGGCTACAACATACTGTTGTATCTATCTGACTGTTACAACATACTGCCGTAGCTATCTGACGGCTACAACATACCCTGTATCTATATGAGGGCCGCAACATACTGCTGTATCTATTTTACGGCTACAACATACTGCTGTATCTATCTCATGACTACAACATACTCCTGTATCTATCTGACGGCCACAACATACTGCTGTATCTATCTGACGGCTAAAACATACTGTTGCATCTATCTGACGGCTTCAATATACAACTGTACCTATCTGACGGCCACAACATACCCCTGTATCTATCTGACGGCTACAACATACTACTGTACATATCTGACCGCTAGAATATACTCCTTTATCTATCTGACGGCCGAAACATACTGTTGTATCTATCTGACGGCTAGAATATACTGCTGTATCTATCTGACGGCTAGAATATACTGCTGTATATATCTGACGGTTACAACATACTGTTGTATCTATCTGACGGCTACAACATACTGCTGTATATATCTGACGGCTACAACATGCCCTTGTATCTTTCTGACGGCTACAGCATACCCCTGTATCTATATGAGGGCCGAAATATACGGTTGTATCTATCTGACGGCTACAACATACTGCCGTATCTATCTCACGGCCACAAGATACTGCTGTATTTATCTGTCGGCCCCTATACATACCTGTATTTATCTGTCGACCCCTATACATACCTGTATTTATCTGTCGGCCCCTATACATACCTGTATTGATCTATCGGCCCCTATACATAACTCTATATATCTGTCAGCTCTATACATACCTGTATTGATCTGTAAGTCCCTATACATACCTGTATTGATATTTCAGTCCCTATATACACCTGTATTGATCTGTCGGCCCCTATATACATACCAGTATTGATCTGTT